GATCTTGACTTCCCTTCTGTTTTTATCTTTAAATTCTACCAGCAGTCTTTAATTCTGTTTGCATATTGGTGTGAATCATAGGATTCAAGGAAAACCCCAAAATAGATCAGTTGACCTGGAGCCTGTCCCTCCTTGCCTGAAAATTCATTCTTGCAGCTATCTCTGCTGAAGTTCTGTGTCTGCAATGGGTAATGAATGCACTGTGGTCCTTGTCACACACTCCATGAGAATGCATGTGCATGGTAGAGCTTTAAATATATTTCTTGGACTATCCCAGATTCCTTCAGCCAGGCCATGCTGGCTGGAGGATTTTGGGAGCTCTTATTATTGTCTACCTTCTTATTGTTTCAGACTTACGGTTGATCCTAAGGAAGCCTCTTGGCAAGATCTGTTCAGAGCAGGTTTGCCATTGCTTTCCTCTGAGTCCAAGAGAGTGTGGCTTGCCCAAGTCATCTACTAGGAGTCTGGGAGTTGTTGTCGATGAAAAATAGCTTTACACTTTCTGCTGCATGAACAAAGGGGGTGCACACTGCTTGGCTGATTTGTAATAACAGCTTTATCAGGCAATATTTTCTCCTAGAATATCTTTTAACACCCCCTCTCTAATAACCACCAATAATTGATAATCATTTGAGTGTTGGACTATGATTCCCAGCTCAGTCAAGAAACCCACTGGGAGACCTTGGGCAAGTCACATACTCTCAGCCTCCTCAGGGGAAGGGAATGACAAACCTCCTCTGAACAAATCTTTTCAAGAAAATCCCATGATAGGCTTGCCTTAGGGTTGCCATGAGTAGGAAATGACAAAAGCACACAACAATAGCAACATCCTGGAGGAGTGTGGTGGGGGTGCCGCCCTCCAAGGACTCCAGGGTGGCTAATGTGGCCCCCTAGCCTTCCACAGTTGCCCACTCTTGCCAGAGAGTGTTTAGTGCCACTTTATGTTACACTGTACAATGTGATGGTTGGCCAGCTGAGGACACAGTATTCCATAAGTTGAGCAGGAGGATATATTGTGACATGTTGACACTGTGTGTGATAGCAGCAAAGAGAATTAGAACAAGAACCTTGAATCAGCTGGCATTAGGATCATAAGGAATCTTGGTGGCTTGAAAAACCTTAACTTGGGAAATTTCATGAAGCATCTATGCAATTCTAAATTGTGTGCTTTTTGAATGGTTTTTGGGTGTTGAGAATTTCTTTCTAC